AAGGTTTGTGGCAACCCTGCATTGAGCAAGTTTATCCGCACAATTTTTCCACAACCTGTGTTCACTTCATGTCTCTGTCACATTTTGGTAATTCTCACAATATTTCAAACTCTTTCATTATTATTATTTGTTATGGTAATCTGTGATCAGTGTGTCTTTTATGTTACTGGTGTAATTGTTTTGGAGCACCACAAACCCAGCTCGTATAAGCCAGCAAACGTAATGGATAAATGTTTTGTGTAATCTGACTGCTCCACCTACCAGCTGTTGCCCTGTCTTCCTCTCCAAGGGCCTCCATATTCCCTGAGACATAACAGTATTGAAGTTAGGCCGACGAACCCTACAATGGCCTCTAAGTGTTCAAGTGAAAGGAAGAGTCGCACATCTCTCCCTTTAAATCAGAAGCTAGAAATGATAAAGCTGAGTCATTAAGTGTTGAAAGCTGAGGTACGTCAAAAGCTAGGCCTCTTACACCAGTTAAACTAAGTTGTGAATGCAGAGGAAAAGTTTTTGAAGGAAATTAAAAGTCCTATTCCAGGAAACACAAGTGTTAAGAAAGTGAAACAGCTTTGTTGCAGATAATGAGAAAGGGTGAGTGGTCTGGATAGAAGATTAAACCACCCTTAACTTTCCCTTAAGCCAAAGCCTAATCTGGAGCAAGATCCTTAGTCTCTTCAATTCTGTGAAGGCTGAAGGCTGAGAGAGGTGAGGAAGCTGCAGAAGAAAAGTTGGAAGCTAACAGGTCGGTTTATGAAGTTTAAGGAAAGAAGGTGTCTCCATAGCATAAAAGTGCAAGGTGAAGCAGCAAGTGCTGATGTAGAAGCTTTAGCAACTTATTCAGAAGAGCTAAGATCATTGATGAAGGTGGCTATGCTAAACAATAGATTTTCTGTTTTCTTTTTTTTTTTTTAGACAGAGTCTCACTCTGTCACCCAGGCTGGAGTGCAGTGGCGTAATCTTGGCTCTGTGCAACCTCCGCCTCCCAGGTTCAAGTGATTCTTCTGCCTAGGCCTCCCCAGTGGCTGAGATTACAGGCGCGCGCCACCATGCCTGGCTAATTTTATATTTTTAGTAGAGATGGGGTTTCACTACGTTGGCCAGGCTGGTCACGAACTCCTGACCTGCCTTGACCTCCCAAAGTGCTGGGATTAACAGGCATGAGCAACCATGTCTGGCCAGATTTTCAGTGCAGACGAAGATGCAACCTAGGACTTTCCTAGCTAGAGAAGAGAAGTCAATGTCTGGTGCCAAAGGACAGGCTGACTCTCTTGTTAGGGCCTAATGCAGCTGGTGACTTTAAATTGAACCGATGCTCATTGACCACTTTGAAAATGTTAGGGCTTTTTAAAAGTATGCTAAATCTACTCTGCCTATACTCCATAAATTGAACCACAAAGCCTCAGTGACAGCACATCTGTTTACAGCATGGTTTACTGAGTATTTTTAGCCCATTGTTGAGACCAATTGCTCAGAAAAAAGATTCTTTTGAAAATATTACTGCTTATTGACAATGTGCCTGGTCACCCAAGAGCTCTGATGACAATGCATAAGAAGTTTAATGTTCTCATGCCTGCTAAAACAACATCCATTCTGCAGTCCATGAATCGAGTAATTTCTCCTTTCATCTCTTATTATTTGAGAAATTTATTTCATAAGGCTATAATGCCCATAGATACTGATTTCTTTTGATGGAACTGGGCACAGTAAATTGAAAACTTTCTGGGAAAGAATCACTGTTATAATTTTTATATTCTTTATTGTTGTTGTTATTTTGGAGAGATGAGGTCTCACTATGTTGCCAAGGCTGGTCTCAAATTCATGGGCTCAAGCAATCCTCCCACCTTGGCCTCCCAAAGTGCTGGGATTACGGGTGTGAGCCACCAGGCCCAGCCATTCACTAGATTCTCTAAAGAGTATCTGGAAACCTTCTTTTCAGATCCTTGACTTCCAGATTAAGAGCCTTTCTCACTCAGAAGTCTTCCTTGATTTGTCCCTTTTTCTTTCTAGGCTCAGAGAAAGAAGTCCCACTTCGTTTTCAAACCAGATCCGTTTTGCTAGTTTGTTTGTTTTGTTTTGTTTTGAAACAGAGTCTCGCTCTGTTGCTCAGGCTGGAGTGCAGTGGCTCAGCAATCTTGGCTCACTGCAACCTCTGCCCCCTGGGTTCAAGCAATTCTCATGTCTCAGCCTCCTGGATAGCTGGGATTACAGGCACATGCCACCACAACTGGCTAACTTTTGTATTTTTAGTAAAGATGGTGTTTTGCCATGTTGACCAGGCTGGTCTTGAACTCCTGGCCTCAACTGATCCGCCTGCCTTGGTCTCCCGGAGTCCTGGGATTACAGACATGCACCCCCTCATGTGGCCCCCTTTTGCTACTTTGTGTGTTAATCCCATTTCCTTAAAAACCTTATCAATCACTAAGTATGTATTTTGTCTCTTAAATTTTTTCTCCCTAGGGTCTCTTCCTCTTTCTCTGTTGAAACTAACTCACTCAACGATCACCGTTTTTGAAAGCAGTGATTTATTTTTTAATCTTTGTTCTCACCACTATTCTACAGCATTAGACGCTGGTAACTACTTCCTTCTTGAAATGTGGTCTTTCTTCAGTTATAACTCTGTTATAAGGACTCCCTTGGTTCTCAATGACCATTTCCTACTCAGTTTTCACTGTAAGAATTCTCCAAGTGTCAGGACTGGGCACAGTGGCTCACGCCTGTAATCCCAGCACTTTGGGAGGCTGAGGCGGGCGGATTATGAGGTCAGGAGATCAAGACCGTCCTGGCTAACATGGTGAAACCCTGTCTCTACTAAAAAATACAAAAAATTAGCCAGGCATGGTGGCGGGTGCCTGTAGTCCCAGCTACTTGGGAGGCTGAGGCGGGAGAATGGCGTGAACTCGGGAGGCAGAACTTGCAGTGGGCCGAAATGGTGCCACTGCACTCCAGCCTGGGTGAAAGAGCCAGACTCTGTCTCAAAAAAAATAAAAAATAAAAAAGAATTCTCTATGTTTGTCCTTAGTTGTTTTGTTACTGGATATATATATTCATGGCCTTGGCTATTTCATCTACAACCAGAGCTTATTTTTTATTTATTTATTTATTTTTTTTGATGCGGAGTTTCACTCTTGTTGCCCAGGCTGGAGTGCAGTGGTGCGATCTCAGCTCACCACAACCTCCACCTCCCGGGTTCAAGCGGTTCTCCTGCCTCAGCCTCCTGAGTAGCTGGGATTACAGGCATGCGCCACCACGCCCAGCTAATTTTGAATTTTTAGTGGAGACGGGGTTTCTCCATGTTGGTCAGACTGGTCTCGAACTCCCAACCTTAGGTGATCTGCCCGCCTCTACCTCCCAAAGTGCCGGGATTACAGGCGTGAGCCACTGTGCCTGGCCAGAGCTTAATTTTTTAACCTTTATTTATTTATTTGAGACAGAGTCTCACTCTGTCGCCCAGACTTAACCTTTATTTAAAAGAGCCTAGGCCAAGTGCGGTAGCTCACGCCTGTAACCCCAGCACTTTGAGAGGCCGAGGCGGGCAGATCATGAGGCCAGGAGTTCAAGACCAGCCTGGCCATCATAGTGAAATCTTGTCTCTACTGAAAATACAATAATTAGCAGGGTGTGGTAGTGCTCGCCTGTAGTCCCAGCTACATGGAAGCTGAGGCAGGAGAATCACTTGAGCCTGGTGGGCGGAGAGGTTGCAGTGAACTGAGATCATGCCGTCACACTCCAGCCTGGATGAGAAGAGCAAGCTCTGTCACAAAAAAATTATAATAATAAAAATTTTTAAAAGGTGTCAGCTTAACCCTTAGAAGAGAGCTTTCTTATGCTGTAAAGTGAGGACTTAGTGTTTAATGGGTACAGAGTTTCTGTTTGGGATGATGGAAAAGTTCTGGAAATGGATAGTGGTAATGGTTGCACAACATTGTGAATGTCCTTAATTATGCCGTGGAATTATACACTTAAAAATGGTTAAAATGATAGAATTTTATGTTGTGTATATGTTGCCACAATAACAATAAAACGTCTCACAACTTCATATAATATTAAAAATAAAATTAAACATTTTGAAGGCCCTCGGCCTGGTGCGATGGCTCACCTGAGGTCAGGAGTTTGAGACTGGCCTGGCCAACATGGTGAAACCCTGTCTCTACTAAAAATAAAAAAAATTAGCCAGGCATGGTGGTGGGCAACTGTAATCCCAGCTACTCAGGAGGCTGAAGCAGGAGAATTGCTTGAACACAGGAGGCGGAGGCTGCAGTGAGCCAAGATCGCACTATTGCACTCCAGCCTGGGCAACAAGAGCAAAACTCTATCTCAAAAATAAATAAATAAATAAAATAAAAATAAATAAAGGCCCTGTACAATCTGCTTGCTTTTAAATCATGTAGTTAACATTTAACCTACATTCGTTTCTCCAAACATCCCTGCATCTCTGCCTCAGAGCTTTTGCTCAAAATATATAGTGTGCTTCTATTTTTCTTTAAGATTCAGCTCCAGAGCTACTTCTATAAAACTTCTCAAGGTATAGATTAAATTCATCTTTTTCTTCTCATCCCTATTAATAATTTCGACCTCGCTTATAGCAGTTAGCACATTTACCCTGTGGTATAGTTATTTGCCTGCATATGTGTATTTTTGCTTATAAGATTCCATCATTTCATGTTGTTGACACTCAATAGATGTTGACTGAATTGAATCTGAAGTCTCTCATTTTATAGATGGGGAAATTGGAATCCAGAGAGGACACACAGTGACAGAGCCAGGACTAGTTTCAGGGTCTTCTGTCTTCTGTTTCAACAAGTTTCCGTCTGCACTAACATAGTGACATGCATCCTATGGATGCTCTCAGTCTACTGATGTTAGACAATTCAGTATTGTGGTACAGAATAAACACCAGGTCCCATCTACGAGTCTTTCATCCATATAAAAAAGTACATTTGTTATTTGAAAATCTTTGTACATATGAAGATTATGATGTATTTTTATTCTGTTTTCAGCTTCATGTTTCCTGTTGCAGGTGGGATAAGACCCCCTCAAGGTATGTGAAAGTTTAAGTTTTGAACTTTTATTTTTCACTCTTGTGTTTCTGAATCTGGAATTAAATAAGTAAATAGAAAATAAGTTCTATTGCTGCTAAATAGAGTAAAATTTTCTACACTCTTAAACCTATATGACAGCTACTCTTAAAATTTCTCAAAAATTATATAATTTTGGGAGTAATAAGGGTCACTCCTCATTTCTCCCAAACTTATATAAACATTACGTTCATAGATTGTTTAACCTCAGAGGTGAAAGAGACTTTTAGGACAAGAATGTTAAGGAACATGTGATAAAAATGAAATGAGCTGTAATTCACTTAATGATGTCTTTCTCCTTCTGTCTAGTCTTCTGCTAGATGGTTAGTGCCATGTCTGTCTAATGCTCATCTAGCCTTATCTCTAGCACCCAGCATGTTGATTTAACATAATAGGTTCTCTGTAGATGTTTGTTGAATGAATAAACGAACATCTTTAGTTGTTTCACACTGCTATTTTTTCTCTATATGATAGTATCTTATAATCATGTTTTATAAACATATAATTTTGAAATTAAAAGAGATCACATACTCTGATTCAGCTTAAAGTATTTAAGTCTCAGGATTTTGTTTGGTTTTGGTTTTTTATTTTTATTTTATTTTTTTGAGATGGGGTCTTGCTCTTTTGCCCAGGCTGGAGTACAAGTGGCACAGTGATAGCTTACTGCATAGCCTCGGCCTCCTGGGCTCAAGCATTTCTCCCACCTCAGCTTCCCGGCTAGCTGGGACCACAGGTGCATACCACCACGCCTGGCTAATTTTTAAATATTTTGTAGAGACATGGTCTCCTTATGTTGCCCAGGCTGGTATCAAATTCCTTGGCTCAAGCGATTCTCCTGCCTTGGCCTCCCAGAGCACTGGGATTACAGGCATGAGCCACCATGTCATATAAGTCTCAGTTCTATTCCTAGAAATTTCTGTACTAAGTATACCTCTTCTCTCTTGGTCTGAGACCAGGACCCACCAATATCAATTCTAGCTTTATCTTCAAGGAAATAGTAGTGAAGGAATATAATTTTGACCCATGCTGCCATGCAGCTGGGACATAACAGTGAAGAAGGAATAGATCTGCCTTTCTCTGGCTTTTTTTCCACTCACTTCTCCCACTCTGATGTATTCCCTCTCCCCTCACACCAAGCTGCTTCTGAAAACTGGCTCTTCTTAAAAAGCCAGCGTTGATTGGTTGTCATAGATTTGCTGGAGAAACAGAGACTCGTAGGTCAGCAGTAGAGATAAAAGATAAAGAGCAGCTCAGTAGCAGATGGTCAGTGGCTCATCCTGACTTTGTCTTCATTTATAATCAGTGATGGCGGTTGAGTTTCAGGCAAGTTTTTCCAAGGGTCAGTTGTATTCTTTTCATCGTGTTCACGTTTATGCATTATTTAAGCTATCTGTAATTAGATGTGTCCCAGATTGAGATCAAATGGTTTGAGATCTTTTGTTCTTTAGGAAGGTATTACAGAGTTATGTGTTCATTATCATGGTTGGTTATTTTGCATTTCTACACATTTTCAAGTAAAAATATACCTATGAAGCAAAGGAACTGGACAAGAAGAGCTCTCAAAATGTTGCCTGATATTTTTTCTTAGGGAATTTGGAATTGGTTTGGAGATTTTTTTTAACAGTTTTTAGGATGAACTTTTGGATCATTTGAAGGCTTTAAATTATGCGTGCATCATTTCTGAAAACATATGTAAGAAACCGACAGCAAGGGTGGCCACAAGATCGTGAGTACTTGAATAGGAGACAGAGGAGAGAAAGAGACCTATTTTTTACTGTGTACACTTTTGTGCCTTGAAATATTATGCCAGATATGTGAGTTAGCCATTCAGAAATAAAATAAAATCAATTAAAATGAATAAAACTTTTAAGTCCAAAGAAATAAGACAGAAAACATCTTACGGTGGCTGTTTTCAATCTGTGTATTTTAATTCTCCCTGACACCTTGTGATCTTTGTACTTGGTGTTCTTTGGTCTGGAATATTCTTCCCAAACACCTGCATGGCTTGGTTCTTTATTTTCTTGAAGACCTTTCTGAAATACCACCCTGTTGGTGAAACTTTTTCTGATTGCCCTATGTAAAATATCAACCACTCCGTTCCCTCTTGCCCTGCTTTATTATTTTTTGGCCCTAGCTCTTATCACCACCTGACATGTACTTATTTTTTTGTTGTCTGTCTCTCCTGATTACAGTGTAAGCTCCATGAGAGTGAAGACCTGGTTTTATTCATGGCTGTGTCCCCAGAACAGTGCCTAATATGGAGTAGGCCTCAAATACTTGAATAAGTGAATGGTCTACCTCAAATAACTGTTAGCCACAATGTGGATGTCCATGCTTCTGAAATTAGGCTAGGTTATAGATAACCTGGAAGGTACACAAAAGCCGTAAGATAAACATGGTATGATTTCCTAGATCTTTAATTTTTCAAATCGACAGTTTGATATAAAGTTCCTTACGGTGGAACCAACATGGATGTAGTTTGAATGCAAAATTAGAATGAAATTTGTGCTCAGGCTATGTAAGGATTTTGTTTTATTCACTTCTGTGTACCAAGCACATAGAACTATGCCTAGCATATGGTAGGCGTTTAGTATTTATTAAAATCCCAAAGAGATGTATATTCATTCACCTCTGCTCTTGGAAAAGTTTGGGAAACACTAGCCTAAATCATACTTTCATGATAGTTTTCTGCCATTGCACATACTGATGGCTACTTTGTGGTAACTGTTATATTACCTATTCATGTAAGAAAAAGGAAGAAGAATAACATTTCTTTGAGCATAGTAAGTATTAAACAGTTTTACAAATGAGAAACCAAGGCATAGAAAGAAGCAAATTCCCCAAGGTTCCAAAGAAGTATGTGGCATTTCTAGTTGGCTCCTAGAGTTCATGCTCCTGTTATTTTGTTAGTTATCTGCTGCTGTGTAACAGATTATCCCGAACTTTAAAAAGTAAACATTTTATTATTTCATAGTGTGTCTGTGGGTCAGGAATCTAAGAGTAGCTCTGCTGGGTGGTTCAGGCTCAAGACCTCTTACGAGATGGCAGTGAAGATGAGCCAGGCTTGCAGTCATCTGAAAGTTTCATGGAGCTGCTTCCAGGGTGGCTCACTGAGATAGATGGCAAATTCATGCTGCCTTTTCGCAGAAGACCTCAGTACCTTACCACATGGATTCTCCATAGGTCTTATTGAGTATTTCATAATGTGGCCGTGCTCCAGAGCGAGTGATCCAAAAGAACCAGGAGGAAACTACAGTGTCTTTTAAGAACTAGCCTCCGGGCCAGGCGCAGTGGCTCACACCTGTAATCCTAGCACTTTGAGAGTTTGAGGCGGGTGGATCACTTGAGGTCAGGAATTCAAGACCAGCCTGACCAAGACGGCGAAACCCCATCTCTACTAAAAGTACAAAAATTAGCAGACACCTGTAGTCCCAGCTACTTGGGAGCCTTGAACCCAGGAAGTGGAAGTTGCAGTGAGCTGAGATCATGCCACTGAACTCCAGCCTGGGTGACAGAGTGAGACTCTGTCTCAAAAAAAATAAATAAATAACTGGCCTTCAAAGTTATATGCTGTCATTTCCACAGTATCCTATTGGTTATACTGGTCAGCCCCATTCAGTATGGAATGGAACAACACACGAGTATGAATACCAGGAGACAGAGGTCACTGGAGGCCATCTTGGAGGCTGAGTACCCCAATTAGGCCATACTGTTTTTTAGTATGCATACAAATTCCATAGAAGAGATACTATCTTCATTTTACAGATGAAGTTTTGTAACTTGTTCAAGATCACACAACTAAGTAAATGACGGAGTTGGAATTCATATTCATATCTGTCTCACTCGACCCTGTACTTTTTCCATTACACTCTGCTTCCTGCCAAGTAACAAGTCCTTTAGGTACTTATGGTTTTAAGAAAATAAACTTTAAAATACATTGACTTTAATAATGTCTTTATGTTTTCAGCAGGCCTGATGCCGATGCAGCAACAAGGATTTCCTATGGTCTCTGTCATGCAGCCTAATATGCAAGGCATTATGGGAATGAATTACAGCTCTCAGATGTCCCAAGGACCTATTGCTATGCAGGTACTTGCTTCTTTAGTTGGTTTCTTACAAAGTTATTGTTTGTTGTTATGTTTATATATCAAGAGCTACAGGCTAAGAGCTTAATGTTACAATTAGAAATAAGCATAAATAAATGGCTTCCTTCAAACTAAAATGAAGATGTGTTCACCCTCCAAGAGTGAGGGAGAAGGCTAAGTGTAGTGGCTCACACCTGTAATCCCCGCACTTTGGGAGGCCGAGGCAGGCAGATCACTTCAGGTCAGGAGTTCGAGACCAGGCTGGCCAACATGGCAAAACCCCATCTCTACTAAAACTATAAAAATGACCTGGGTGTGGTGGCATGTGCCTGTAGTCCCAGCTACTCGGGAGGCTGAGGCAGGGCAATCCCTTGAACCCGAGAGGCGGAGGTTGCAGCGAGCCAAGATCATGCCACTGTACTCCAGCCTGGGCAACGAGGGGAGACTCCCGTCTCAAAAAAAAAGGCCTGAGGAAAAAAAGGTTTTTGCTTTTGTACTATTAACCAATATCTTTAAAGCCATATACTGTATTTCTTTTTTACCTAATAATTTATTTAGTTTTGCTTTTTTCAACTTTTATTTTAGATTCAGGGGACAGTTTGTAGGTTTATTACACTAATGTGTTGTGTGATGCTGAGGGTTGGGGTATGATGGAACCGATCACCTGGGTAGTGAGCATAGTACCAAACAGGTAGTTTTCCAACTCTTCCCCCGCTCTTTATCCCCTCTTATAGTCTCCAGTCTTTATGTCGAGCCTGTCTTTATGTCCGTGTGCACCCAGTGTTTAGCTCCCACTTGTAAGTGAGAACATGTGGTATTTGGTTTTTTGTTTCTGTGTTAGTTTACTTACTTACCTAATACTTTAACATTTTCTATTTCTGTGTGTTTTGTTATACAGTATATACTTTTATACAGTAACACGTGTATATAACTTATAAATAAGTAATATTAGGAGTTCACAACCAGAATTTTCAGTTGAAACCATTGTTGTTTTGAAGTCAATTATGCAAATAAAGCTTCTGTTTTGTGTTTAAATGGTCAGGAAAACTTCCAGTGTCATTTTTTATCCATCTCTAGAAGGAAGCAAATGGGAATACATTGAGATTTTGTAGGTTTTTAATTCACGTTAAGCTAGCTTTCACTAGGTTGTGCTGCAGAAACAGTCCCCAGATCTCCATGACTTACAAAAGTTTAGCCCTCACTCGTGATACATATCCTCATGTGTTGGTGCTGACTCTGCTCCATGTTTTCTTTATCCTAGGACCCTCAGCCAGGACATCCTAGGCTCTTGGCATAGGAAAAAGAGACGGCCAAATGCTGTGATGTCTTTTAAAGCTAACACCTGGAGGTAGCATATATTAGTCACTTCTGCTCACCAAAGTAATATGGCCTTAGCATCAGTAGAGGAGGAATATACCAGGAGGAATGTAAACCATATAGGGATATGTAGTCCTCTTAGAATAAACACAGCAAATGGCCAGGAGCGGTGGCTCACACCTGTTATCCCAGCACTTTGGGAGGCCAAGGCAGGCAGATCACAAGGTCAGGAGATTGAGACCAGCCTGACCAGCAGGGTGAAACCCCGTCTGTACTAAAAATACAAAAATTAGTCGGGCATGGTGGTGCGCACCTGTAGTCCCAGCTACTCAGGAGGCTGAGGCAGGATAATCGCTTGAACCTGGGAGGCGGAGGTTGTAGTGAGCTGAGATCGTGCCACTGCACTCCTGCCTGGGCAACAAGTAAGACTCCGTCTCAAAAAAAATAAAGTAAAATAAAAAAATAAGAATAAAGGCAGCAAATAACTAAAAACAATCTACTATAGAATACAATGTCTTTTAAATTAAAACTTCCTAAGCTTACTACTGAATCTTAATAACAATTGATACAAATTTTAAATCATTAATTTTTACACTAAACATTATTTTATGCTTACACAATTATCTGAAAAATGTTTTTAGAGTTTGAACCAACCAAAAACAGTAAGAGTCTCTAATATGCAGAACAATAGGAAAAAAGTAAACTATGAGAGTTGATAGTGCCTTAATAATGTCCCTGAATATCAGAAGCTTGTGTATTAATGATGCTAAGACAAAGCAACCAAAGTCTTTTTCTTTAACCTTTACTCTTGCTGACAGGCATTATATTGTTTGGAAGATGCTGACCCGTTTTTTTTTTTTTTTTTTTTTTT